CGAAAAACCAGAGCCTTGTCTCAACTGTGTATATGACAAGGAATCTAACAGGTAGTTCCAGATGGAGAGAAAAAGCCATCACATAGCTGGTAAGCTTAAAACTCATAGTACAGGGCTGTGGTGGTGGCAGTTTGCATGCAAATTAGCTAGACTTGGTAAGCTCACTAAATGTTTATTATATGTAAATTAAACTTTTTAAAAACTTCATCTTTTAATAGAAACAAATGTGACAATTCCTAGACCTATTATGACTGTGGTTTCTGAATGCTTTTCCTTATGGTGTAAGGTTTAAGGGGAAAAAATAGCCTAGAAGGAAGAAAAAGTGAGCAGGATTCCAATTCTTTTCTGCTCGCTGGGGAACACATGCTTTCCAAATACTAGGAGGAGAGGAGAGGAGAGAAGAGAAGAGAGGAGAGGAGCCACCTGGGTTCTTTCTCAGCTCTGAGTCTGTTTTGGCTCCAGAATACACTTTACTTTCCCCAAACTGATAGCTTTCACTTCCAATATTTTTTTCTCAGAAATGCACAATCTCGTGAGAGCTCCTTGGTGAGCTTCTGCAGCCCTAAGGAAACATCTAAAGGGACCCTGATATGTCATTAGTTTAGAATCAATGAGATCGGGGGCCCCAGAGGGCAGGGCTTCCTTCTGTATGTATTTGTCCCCATACAGACAGTCACAGAATAGGTTAATAAAAGATTAATTGAATAATTTACCTACTAAATGAATGAATGAATGAATGCTAAATCTCACAGTAATCTACCAATGATGTTAGATAGAAAGAAGTTATATCTATAGATTAAAAGGCATATCAAATAATGCAATGTATGGACCTTGTTTCCATTTTTATTCAAAGATTTTTTTAAAAATGCAATTTGGAAATTTGAACACTAATTAGATATTTGATGATTTTATCTGCCCTGCACCATGGTTTTTCTTTTCTTTCTTTCTCTTATTTTTCTTTTTTGAGACGGAGTTTCTCTCTTATTGCCCAGGCTGGAGTGCAGTGGTGCCATCTCGGCTCACCACAACCTCTGCCTCCTGGGTTCAAGTGATTCTCCTGCCTCGGCCTCCTGAGTAACTAGGATTACAGGGGTGTGCCACCACGCCCAGCTGATTTTTTTTTTTTTTCTTAGTAGAGATGGGGTTTCACCACATTGGCCAGGCCAGTCTTGAACTTCTGAACTCAGGTGATCAGCCCACCTCAGCCTCCCAAAGTGCTGGGGGGATTACAGGTGTGAGCCACTGCACCCAGGCATTTTTTTTTTTAACTTTTAATGTAGTCACCATTTAAAAATAGATTTTACAGTAAGATCCAGATTTCTAGCTTATTTTGAAAAATGGGAATATCTGGCCACAGATGGGCCCACCTCCCCACTCACGACCATGTGCTGGAATTATGGTGTGGTTACTCGATTTTGAAGGTGGTTCCAACAGTCTCCATCTCAGGCCCAGGATATGTGCTAATTCTTCCGCAAAAACTTCTCTGATCACCCCAAACAAGACTGATTTCTCATCCCTCTGAGCCCTCGGAACCCATTTCAATTACTCACCTAAATCCTCCACATGCTGCCTGTATATGGTTATTTCTGGATGTCTTATCCCCCTCTTCCTCGTACATCCTGGCTGGAATGAGGCCTTTTGAGGCTCTACACACTGAAAAGATTAGCAGGGTGCCTCCCCATATGTAATTCCCAATCAAATTTTATTTTTCAAAGTGACAGTGTTTACAAATAAGACAAACTTCTAGAACGAAAAAAAATTCTCGGCTGTGTGCAGTGGCTCACACCTGTAATCCCAGCACTCAAGGATGCCAAGCAGGGTGGATCATTTGACCTCAGGAGTTGGAGATTAGCCTGGGCAACATGACAAAACCCCGTCTCTACTAAAAATACAAAAATTAGCCTGGTGTCACGGTGCATGCCTGTAATTCCAGCTACTCAGGAGGCTGAGGCAGGAGAATTGCTTGAACCTAGGAGGCGGAGGGTGCAGTGAGCCAGGATCACACCAATGCACTCCAGCCTGGGCGACAGAATAAGACTCCATTTCAAAAAATGAAGAAAAAAAAATCTCTATTTTCTTCTAATGAAGAACAACTTCTTATTTTGAAAAACCTCAAATCAAATCTTTACACCTAAATTCTTCAACATCTTTTTCTCTCTCTCTTTTTTTTTTGGGGTGAAGTCTTGTTCTGCTCTCAGGGTGGAGTACAGTGGGTGATCTCGGCTCACTGCAACCTCCACCTCCAAGGTTCAGGGGATTCTTTTCCCTTAGCCTCCTGAGAAGCTGGAATTACAGGCATGCATCACCACACCCGGGCAATTTTTGGGTTTTTGTTTTGTGGGTTTTTTGTTTGTTTGTTTCTGTTTTTTTCTGTATTGGTGGGGTTTCACCATGTTGGCCAGGCTGATCTGGAACTCCTAAGCCCAAGCAATCTGCATGCCTCGGCCTCCCAAAGTGCTGGGATTACAGGTGTGAGTATTTATTTCTTAAGAAGAAGTACATTTTCCTACGTGACCACAACATCATTCACACAAGAAAATTCACACCCGAGAAATTTGACCTTGATACAATATCATGTACCATACAGTTCATATTCAAGTTTTCTAATTGTGCCAGTAATGTGTGCCCTTTGAAGCTTCTTCTAAAAATCAGAGTTCTAATCAAGGATCATACATTGTATGTGGTCCCTTTTTTTTCTTTTTCTTTCTTCTTCTTTTTTTTTAGGCCAAGTCTTGCTCTGTTGCCAGGCTGGAATGCAGTGGCATGAGCGCGGCTCACTGCAATTTCACCCTCCCAGGTTCAAGCGATTCCACTGCCTCAGCCTCCCAAGTAACTGAGACTACAGGCACGCGCCACCACACCCGGCTAATTTTTTGAATTTTAGTAGCAATGGGGGTTTCACCACGTTGGCCAGGATGATCTCCATCTCCTGACCTCATGATCTGCTGGCCTCGGCCTCCCAAAGAACTGGGATTACAGGCATGCACCAACGTGCCCGGCCTGCATGTGGTCTCCTTAGCTGTCTGTGATCTGGAACACTTCCCTGATTTTTGTTGTTAGTCTTTCATGACACTGAAATTTTGAAGCATCAGGGCCAGTTTTTTGTAGACTATCCCACAGTCTCTACCTCTGTCTGAATGTTTCTTCATTATTAGATTTAGGTTCAACATTTTTATAAGAAACTACAAAGCTGATGTAGTTTGCTAAATTTTCTGTTGGTGGAGGTCCAGATGCTGTCATGAAAGCTGAACTTGTGTTTGTGTATGTGTGTGTACTTTGTGGGCACCTTAATAATATGTGTGTTGTATTAATAATCTTGGCTACCATCCTGGATATCATGCAAAGCGTTAGCCGGGTGTCAGGGTGCATGCCTGTAATCCAGCTACTCGGGAGGCTGAGGCAGGAGAATTTACTTATAAACAGGGCTTCGGGAATTATAATGCCAAACTGTTTATTTTCCCCACTAGTTGGTTTTTTGGTTTTTTTGTTTGTTTGTTTTGTTTTGTTTTTTGAAACAGTCTCTCTCTCTCTGTTGACCAGGCTGGAGAGCAGTGGCATGATCTCAGCTCACTGCGACCTCCACCTTCCAAGTTCAAGCGATGCTCCTGCCTCAGCCTCTCGAGTAGCTGGAACTACAGGTGTCCGCCATGACGCCCAGCTAATTTTTGTATTTTTGGTAGAGATGGGGTTTCTCGGTGTTGGCCAGGCTGGTCTTGAACTCCTGACCTCTGATGATCTGCCCGCCTCAGCCTCCCAAAGTGCTGGGATTACAGGCGTGAGCCACTGCACCCAGCCTCACACTAGTATTAATCTACATCACCGCAAACACTTATTGACCACGTTTTAATTTTTCTTAAATCTGTAGGTGTAACATAATGTCTTTTTCCTTTGTTTGTTTTTTGTTTTGTTTTGTTTTGTTTTTGAGTCAGAGTCTCCATCGCCAGGCTGGAGTGCAGTGGTGCCATCTTGGCTCACCACAACCTCCGCCTCCCTGGTTCAAGCGATTCTCAAGTCTCAGCCTCTCGAGTAGCTGGGATTACAGGTGCCTGCCACCATGCCCAGCTAATTTTTGTATTTTTAGTAGAGATGGGGTTTCACCATGTTGGCCAGGCTGTTCTCAAACTCCTGACCTCAAATGATCCATCCACCTCCGCCTCCCAAAATGCTGGGATTACAGGCATGAGCCACCGCGCCTGGACCTATATTACATATATTATATATTAATACATGTAACATGCTGTTATTGCTAATATATGTAATATATGGTATTATTAGCTTCATCCATTTTATAGCTCCCATGTCATTTGGAGACTCATTGGGCTCGCCAATGTGCCCATCTCACAAGCGGTCCTGCCCCCTTTGGGGATGTCCTGCACCACACTTAATGGCCACAACCCTAAAGTGCGTCCCTATAACCGTGTCACCACACACATGCTCATAACAGTGGTGACTCCATCTCGTACGGGCAAGCGCCCATGAACTGAGGTCTCTGCCCCTTAAGGGGTTTGGCCAATTATGGTTTTCCTTGTGAATCGAAAAAACATTCCGCGACCCGGTAGTGTCTCCCAAAATCCGGAGAGATTGATGCCGATAAGTACCCTGCCTCTCTTTAAAGACTCACATCTTAAAGATACTTCACGCAACTTTGAGACCTATGTGTCATGATTTATTCTGCAACAGTTAAAGGAAGCTACTCATGACGGGGCCCCTAGCACATCAAAGCAACCCTGCCACTCACAACCTCTCCCTGGGCTTCTTCCCCCAACTTGGGTCTTTCTTTGTGTAGTGTTTCAAGGACTAACTAGTAAACTCATGATACAAGCGCACCCAGGAGGCACGCCATAAATGCTCCTTGAATAAACGAATGAGGAAGGACTGTTACTGCGTTGCTAGGTAAAGCGAAGGAGTGTTGGGGGGCCAATCTAGGTGCTGATTGGCTAGTCCCCACAATGCAGTAGGGGTAGAACACGGAACGTTGGAGACGGTTACTTTAGACGAGGCAGTCGCCGCCCAGCTGGTGAGGAGGTGGGACGCAGGAAGCAATCCTGCCTCGTTCCCGGGTCCGAGGCGGGCGCGGTGGCCCTTCGGGCCCCGCCCCCGCCCCGCCCCGCCCACCGGCAGCCGGGCCACGGCCCCAGCGGAGGTCCCGCCGACGCCTGCGCAATGTATCCTTACTGCCACCACTGCCTACGGTCCCGACTCCGGTGATGGCGGATGGCTCCGCCGCCGGCGCTGACGGCAGCACATGCTTGAGGGAGCTGCGGCCACGGATGGGTGAGGGGGCGGGCGGGCGGCTCCCGGGGGTGGCTCGGTCCTGCGTGGGAGGCGGGGCTCCCGCAGACCCCGGGCCGTCGGAGCGGCGCAGCGGGCGCCACAAAACTTTTCCCTGGAGTCGCCTAGCGCTATCCTGTCCTCCCCTCACCCCCGCCGGAGTCCCCTGGGATGGGACTGGGAGTAGCCCTGGGCCTGGGTCGGGGGCGGGGGTTTGAAACGGGCGGCCGATGCCGCGAGTCGCCTGGGTCCGGCCGCCAACGGTCGAACCGCCGCTGCCAACGGTCTAAGCCCCGCGAGCACGGCGCGAGGGAACTCACCGGCTCTGCTTCGACGCGCGGGGCGGGGGTGGGCTGGAACCCGGACCTTGCGGACCGCCCCGAGCCCTGGCTGTCCATGGGGGGCGGCGGCCGCCCGCGCAACGGCCCCAACGGACGCCCGCAGGGACTCCGCGCGCCGGCGCCGCCCCCGCGTCCAGGCTGCCCTTCCAGGCACGGAAAGTTTGAGTGATCCCCCAGCCCGGGACGTGGGCGAGTTTAGGCGCTTTCACTGTCGCAGTCCTCTCCTCTCCCAAAGGCTTACCTCCTGCACCCTCCTGGTCAACGTCCAGGAGGAAGCGGGGTGAGGGTGGGGATGTTTAAAAGTTGCTTTAAAAGTTGGGATGAAACTTGGCTCTTTGCATCTCCTAATTTGCCTGCTGTAGCACGTGACTTCGGCAAGATGTCACCTTCCGTGGTACATCTTGCAGTCCCTAGGCTGAACTGAACGAGGATCAGCATTTCAGAGTGCTTTTTCCTCAATGGGTCCCAGCGCCAAAAAGTTTTTCCCTCCTCCAAAACCGTTGATCTTAAACAATTTGACAGAGAATTGCTTGGTCCAGGAGACTGCTCCACTGTCTGAGATAGGATTTCTTCCTTGCAGGAGGTTGCTTTTAGCTTGTTAGACTAGTTCCGTCTGCTATGAGTGCAAATAAAACGATTTTATTAATTTTAATTGAATTTCTTAGGGTTTTTCTTTGCATTTGTAATTAAAAAGTTTGATTGTCTGAGATTGGGAAGCTATATGTTACTTGAGAAGACTCTGAATCAGCTCTCCAAAGACTGTGTCAGAAGCATATAGTACATACATTTTCACCATTCATTAGGGAGAAATGAATCTTCCTTCTGTGTCTAAATTTATAGTTCACCTAGAAAGAGAGTCTTCAATAAATTGTGTTGCTTATTGGTACCTGGGACTCTGTGACACTGGTTTATTTCAGTGATTTAGATTAACCAGCATTACTCCAATGTGAAAGAGCTGTGGACCAAATAACCCCCTAAAAGCATTTGAATATCAGATGTTAGAAAGTGTTTTAAAATTATGTATAGGGCAGATACTTGAATTCACAGCATTTCAAACCAAAAACTTAAGAGCCATGCAAAAGGCTTAACCCAGGACTCTGGTTTAAATCCTTGCTGCGCATTTCATGTTAGGAATTGGAAATATCACATGTTAGACTTTCTTTCACAGAGCACCAACTTGACCAGAACCGCCCTTTAGATCTCAGCGTTTTCCTTAAGGGGTCACGGAGACAGATGTTTTTGCTAAAATGTTTTCAAGTTCTGCTGGAAGCCTGGCAGCAAGAGTTAAGACTGTCTTGAACACATAACATATAGATGCACAGTACAGTCTAAATATATTTGTTTTATACATTTATGTATGTATGCATTAAAGGATACACTTATATAAATAGATGTTACGTATAAAGTGTAAATATGCATGTATTGAGTTATGTTTTCTGTGCATAGCACTGTGCTGAGGTTATAGCATACCAAATATTTATTTTAACAAAACACATGTGTTTCATAGTTTTATGCAGAATTGTTTTAAAATAATTTATTTGAATATTTCAACCAGCTGAGTGTAAGAAACTTGCCACTGACTTATCACCTTTCCTTTCTTGGTTTTCTAAATTCACAAATGTTTCTCAGTTTAGAATAACTTATTCAAAGAACAATTTCTACCTATGCAGAAAAAGTTACTGAGATTGACAGCCAGATTATCATACAATTTTAGAGTTGGAGAAACCTTAAGATTATCTTGTCTGGCATCCAGAGTCCCAGCTGTAAAATCCTGGGGCACTTCTGCCACTTGAATGTGTAGTCTAATGAGGAGCTTAATATTTTCCCAAGTAGCCATTCCATTGTAAACAGCTCTAAATAGTAGAAAATTGTCTGCAATTTTGACCTCAAGACATGATATCATTGGTTTGAACTTGGAGGTCTTCTGAAAGTCTCAGCCCTATGACTTTGGCTTTTGCTATTCAAGACAAAATTCTGTGAATCTGCCTGATTTTTATGGTTCTCTGATAGCAGATTTCTTTTCCTGTTATTTTTCTCTTAATATTTTATAATAAAGTTGCTTTGAAATTTACAGTTAAGTTCTGGCTTCACCACTTACTACCTGTGTGATCTGAGAAAGTTATGTTTAACTTCAGTTTTCTCAACTGTAAAAATAAATGGGGGGAAATAATTCTGACTACTTTATAGGATTGTTATAAGAATTACATTAAGTAATACAAATGAACTTTTTAAATGGTGAACTGATGTATAATAATGTGTTATGAAAGTTTTTAGAAAAGTACCATAGATACATATTAAGACTCATAATTCAGTTTTAGTAATAAACTACACATTTTCTTAATCTACAGGCAAAATATAACTTTTACTTTAATTTTGGATTTAGAATTAGTATAAGGACTACAGAAACACCTTGCTGTTACTTTTAACTGAATATTAATTCCCTCATTCATTAAAATGCACGTTAAGTAAATTCTTTCATTCAATGAAGTTGTATAAATTGTTGACCCTATTATATCCAGACATAAAGGTGTTATCCCATTGCCTGGACATTTTAAATAATTTTAAATCCTGTCCTTTCTGTTAATGTATTTCTTACCAGTAGGAATTTGGATACAAAGGACTAAAAATTAGATTTGATACTACTACCACATTAACATTTATAGGATTTGGTTCATTATTCTCATCACAACTACTTCTAAGGTTATTTCTGTTTAATAAAATTTTTGATTAATCTGGTAAAAATGTACTTTTTTGAGACAGGGTCTCTCTTGCCCAGGCTGGCATATAGTGGCATGCTAATGGCTCACTGCAGCCTCAAACTCTTGGGCTCAGCCACCTGAATAGCTGAGACTGTAGGTGTACACCACCACACCCAGTCAATTTTTGTATTTTTGTAAAGATGGGGGTTTGCCATGTTACCCAGGCTAATCTCAAACTCCTGACCTGAAGTGATCCACTTGCCTTGGCCTCCCAAAGTGCTGGGATTTCAGGCATGAGCCACCACACTGGGCCAAAAATGTGCATGTTGGGAGAAATTGTCAGCTAAATAGTGTCAAATACAGACTATCCTTAGGACTTCTAAGCAGGAGAACTGAATGTGTAAAAACAATATTACAAGATACTTTGTTTTCTCTGTGCTCACATAAAAATGTTGTAAGTGGGTACATAGGAGGATCTATAGACTAAGAAGTTTTGTTAATATACTAGTGCTCAAATTCAGAAGATAATTGTGGTCCATGGAATTGCCAGTGGTTAAATTATTAAGGAAGCTGAGAAGAGTCTAATCTTCAAATTAAGCTAGGTCATACATTATCTAGGCTGTTAGGCCTCTGGGGTAAAAAAAAAAAATCATTTTTGTCTTTGGAAATGGTGATCCTTATGGCAGCAATTGTGATGTCACTTTCAAGGTTATGCTGTAAAATAACTCCCTCAGTAGCAACATCTCAGAGTTCATTCATTGTATAAGTGCAAGGACAGCCCCTCTATTCCCTCAGTTATTTTAACTGCCCATCTTCAACTGTTCTATTTTTCTTAATATATAGAAACCAAACTTGTATGCAGTATCACAGGGGCTTACTTCCTGTGCTTTTCTACAAGGGTGGAAGAGTTTTCAGTATTATTCTCCATACTGTTTCTGAAGATACTCAGTATTGTGGGGCCTTTTAGATAGAGCCATATGTGGAATTAAAGGATTCAGGGATTCCTCTTACTTTTCCTCATACTGTACCTTCCTAATCTTACACTTCACTCTTATTGAAGTTTATCACTTTTTCTGCCTGTTTACACGTTTGTTTGCACATTGTATAATTTATGTTTGTTTGCTTGACATCTACCTAGAATGATACCATCTCACTGGAGATTCTTTCTTCTAAAAGAATAGTTATTTCTCCACCTTCAGTGTGCATCAGAATAAAGCTTTTAACAACTGCCAATGCCTGGGCTGCACACCCAGAGACTGGTGGTGGGGAGCAGGCAGGCAGGCATTGCTGATTTTTAAAAAGTGACTTAGGTGACTCCAATGTGCAATCAGGGTAGAAAGCCCCTAATTTAGGTAATTTATAAATTTACTCCTTAACATTGGTTTGGCCTGATCTCTGAGTATTTCACTGTTAACACTTTGCTTCGAAATTCAGATCCATATATTCTTAACCTGTTATCGTCTAAATTTCCAATTTATGGTGAAACTTAATTTTCCCAATTCCTTGCCAGCTCAGTTTTTCTAACTCTTGGTTTTTTTTTTTTTTTTTTGAGACGGAGTTTCGCTCTTGTTACCCACACTGGAGTGCAATGGCGCGATCTCGGCTCACCGCAACCTCCGCCTCCTGGGTTCAGGCAATTCTCCTGCCTCAGCCTCCCCAGCAGCTGGGATTACAGGCACGCACCACCATGCCCAGCTAATTTTTTGTATTTTTAGTAGAGACGGGGTTTCACCATGTTGACCAGGATGGTCTCGATCTCTTGACCTCATGATCCACCAGCCTCGGCCTCCCAAAGTGCTGGGATTACAGGCTTGAGCCACCGCACCCGGCCCGATCTAACACTTGTTGTAATGTCTTGTCTGAGACATTTTTGAACTCTGTTAATCATTGGCTCCTACTCATCCACAAGCTTGTTCTGCCACTGCCACTTACAATTATCTTTATGTCTACAAATACCCTGGCCCATCATAGTCAACACTTCGTTAAAGTCAACACTTCTTCGTTAAAGTATTGTTGAAGATCATAGGCGTTCAATATATCTTTGTTGTTGACCCAGATGAAATCAGTCGTGATTTTTAGAAGTGATCCTATCCTTTATCATCAGATACCATTGGCTGTGGTTTGCTGACCCCTGTGTTAGCTATTCATATTCTTAATACCTAATCCCTTTATCTCCCTGTGTTTTAGTTGCTGCAGCACACCAGATTGCAGAAAGGCAGAAACAAGTTGTGGTTAATAGCATTTCATCCCGTACTCCAAGTATAAGAGCAACATTTAAACCAGGTATAATTTCTCTGAGGCTTTGATAGATGTCCAAGTGTCGTATCTTTAAAATTTTATATCCTATTAATATCTAACTACATATATATATATTTTTTTTTTTAGTAATCGATGGATCTGTACTTAAAAATGACGAAAAACAAAGATTAGCAAGAGAGAGGCGGGAGGAGAAGAAAAGACAGCAAAATGGTATATTTTAGACCTTTTTCAAAAATCAAAATGAATTTTATTTTATATACTGCAAAGTGTTTTTAACTTCTCCTCATTTGTTTATATGATAGATTATACTTTTTATATTATGTATTATTTTAGGTTAAATCCTTTTACTAAATCAGGTAAAGAAGGCCCATGAAAATTCTTTAAATTGTTTAATTTTTGAAGGAGTAGTTTATCTAAGTTTTGTTTTTCTGAAAACTAAGGTCTGGAAATTTCTTCAATATTTCTGAAAACAATCAGAATAAGATTTCAGTAAAAGTGATTCTAAAAATGAAAATAAGTTGCCAATAATCCTAACATAAATAAGATGAAAAGCATGTTACCAAGTTATAAAAAGATTATCCTTTTAGATCCTAATTTATGCAGAGTCACACTTCAGAAGCATTTAGTGACAGAAAATTTTCATATAGGAAAAATTGTGCTCTCCTATAAATCAATTAATGTAAAATGCATGTTTAATATGATCTGTATAGATGAGGACTTTGAAAGAAGTTTCTTAGTAGAAGGAAACAAAACATATATCCTGGCCATGTGGTTTTTAAAAAGTTTTATTTTAATATACAGCATATTAATATGGTGGGGTTTGACTTTAACTCAAATCAGCAGAAATATCACGTGAAAGAAAATATTTTTTCTTAATTTGGAATTGTAGTTTGCACAGGATGAGAGACAATCCAGTTCTCCAGAAATTAAATGAATATTCAGTGGAAATGGTTCTTCAGTGGCTACCTCTGTTCACTTTATAATAAATCTTTAGTTACTAGCACAGACTAGCACAGATTGTGTTACATTAAGAAAGAGAATGAGATATGTTAACTTCTGTGTGTGTAATATGGAAAACCTAAATATTTTCTTGGTTCTTACACGTTGAAAATGTGTTTGGAATATTTCAGCCGATAAGGAGACACAACTACTTGAAAAAGAAAGAAAGACCAACCTCCGACACAAGCAACAGTTAGAGGAAAAAGAGAGAAAGCTCAGGGAGCGAAAAGAGAAAGATGAACGAAGGAGAATAGCTGTGGAAGAAAAAAGACACCAGAAGGATGAGGCGTTAAAGGTACATAATTTTACAGCCAGTGCGTGAGAAGATAAACTGGGTTGCCTGAGTCTGGAATGTTTTCTCAGGCCTTCTCTGCAGTATTGGCCCTGTAGAAAGGGAACCAATCCCAGCTCGCTCTTCTTCCCTTCCTCTTCTCCTCAGTATTACAAGCTCTTACTCCTGTCCTGTTAAGATCCTGGGAGCTTAGACCCACTAGCACAGGGAAGGAGGAGCCTTGCAAATCCAGGAATAAAGCCATATCCACCTTCAGGACTTGACACATGAGGAAGCTGTGGCCTGGGGTTTATTCTGAGTGGCTCTGTTGTCTCATTGCCTACAGAATAACGGCAGACCCCACTGTCTGACCCTCCCAACATGCCCTCATCTGACCCATGGTTCACAACTCCTTTAAGAGTGTGACTCCTCAGCCAAATCAGGGCACTTGCTCTCCCTTTCAGCGTCCCTGGCCCCCTCTGGTGTGCACTCATACTCTCTCCCTCTCCACCCTCTGTCCCCGTATTCCTCACTTTCCCTTTGCTGGCAGGGACCCTCTGGACATATGGTTCGGAGTCAGCATCCTTGCTCTTGTTTTGTGGCACTGCCCCTCTCTTTTCCTTTCTGGATTCTCTTTTGGTGTCTTTGGCACTCTATTGGGATGAGTCTGTGGCTTTGTTACGCCCTCTCTTTTTCACTTCTTTCCCTTTTCAGTTTGTCTTTTGTTGTTTATACTGGACATCTGGCTACCTGCCTCATTCTGTGATTCTCTCTGACACCGAATTTTTCTCTTGTAGGTCATTTCGCTACTTGATTTGGAGTATGCTTGACTCCTGAGTCTAGCGTGGTCTCTCTGACACCATTCTCTATCTTCCCGATGTTCTCACTTTCTCTTTATTCCAGGGATTCTTAAGTGTCCCTAGGTAAGCCTTAGTCTGTCTTTGGGTCTCTGTCTGATTCTGGCCTTCTTCTGCCTGAGGCAGCTTGCTTTTCTTTCTTCTGTCTTTGTCATAGCTTCTGTTTTTCCCCATCTTTAGACTCTCTGTCTGCCATTCTTTCAGTGTGTTCTATTTTTATTTGCCTCTCTTATTTTCTGTCTCTCTAATTTTTGCATTTCTTTTTCTCTCCTTTTCTTTCTGATTCCATTTCTTCCACGAAGAAGCTTCTTGTCTTCCTCTGCGGCACTCACTTTCCTCCCTCCCCATCCATACTGGTGCTCTTGTACGTGCTTCCTCTCCAGCCCTGCACCCTATCTGGAGAGCTTCCTGATTCCATAACACCTCTTATGCCACTTCTTCTCCATACATGGTGTACTGTCTGTCTTTCTAGACCTTTTTCTGTGGTTTATGCTATGTTTAATGTTCCACTATTTGGTAGACTCATTCCAAATTTCTGTCACTTTCCATCATCCTCTGTGAAACATCTCCTTATTTTACTTATCTGTGGTGAAGAGATGAAGGCCAGAGAGAGAGAGTATGAACTAAGTAAAGATAGTTTGAGAACCAAAGGAAGTGAAATATAAACTGTGTGTAGAGTGAGGGGGAGTGCATGGAGGAGAGAATCCCAGGGACTGAGACCAAAAAATAAAGACTATCTTAGAGAAAGAAGAAGCTGCCAGAAAGAACAGAGAAGAGAGTGCAGCAAAATGACACGGCAGACAGAAAGGGAGCCACAGACATGGCAGGAGAAGGGGCAAAAGAAAACCCCAGAGAGCTAGTGTGGGGGAGTCCCAGACAACACGAGGCATGTGGCACTGTAAGTAGGGTACATATAGCAAAAGAGAGGAATTCTGGAGAGCAGAAAAAAAACAGACTCAGTGGTGCTGAGGAGGGATGAGCGTGGACAGGAGGCGTATATGAGATGGGATAGGAACTTCTATGTGAGTCCGGGTGGCCACAGTGTGAGAAGGGACCTGGATGAGAGCACAGTAGGTAATGCCTTTGGAAACAGTCGAATAGAATCAGAAATAGTTTAATAATACAAGATTAATCTTTGTTTTTAGTCTATTATAGTTTCAGGATTTCTAAGTAATTCAGAACAACTGCCTTTCTGTTAGATAATATAATTTTCAAATACTGCCATTAGATCAACTTTATTTTAGGAATTGCAGTTGCTTTTCTTCCCAGAAGGTATGGCTGCTCTCCATGTTCCTAGTACGTTTATCTTTGCCCTCGGTAAAAACAGTACAGGCTTTGTAAGGATGACGTTTGCTGTGAAATGGTTGTTGATAGGAAAGAATAGAAAACCTCTGGCCCTGAAAGTTGATTTGTTTACTTTTCATGGTATGGTGCAGTACAAGGATGAGAAATATTTGAGAGAAGAGCTCACTTCTGGAAGTGGAGTTGTTTTGCTGCAGCATGGCATTGACTTTGTATAGTGTCTTGACCACTTAAAGTTGAGGTCAAGACAAATACATTGATTATCTTTTTTGAAACTTTATTTTTATTAACACCAGAATTTAAGCTGTTACAGATGAGAGTATAATAGGTGATTCTCGTATAAATTTAACTTATACGTGTGCTGATTTTTTCCCCTGCCTCATTCCACAAAGAATTTAAGGTGACTTAAAAATGCATACCACACCAGATGATAAAATAAATGGTTGAGAGAATCAAGCAGAGGGGAAAATTAAGGTAGGCAAATAAAACATAAAGTATGATTAGCATACACAAAAGTATACCAGTCAGTTTTTGTACAGTTGCTAGAAATGCTACAAACTTGGTTCTAAATTTCCTAATGATACAAGCAAAGAGAAAGGCATGGTCATTTTCCCAATGCAGGGTCCATAAGATAAAAAAATGAGTTATTTAGAGAAGCACTGGTATTGATTGATAGCTGAGACATGTCTCCAATTATTTTAAACTTTTACCTGACACAGAAATTTGGTGACGGTTTATTTTATAAACCACACAACAAAATTATACTGACTAATATAATGAATATGTAAAAATATGTTGGCATTTGCTTTAAATAGGAGAAATTTACAGCCATTCTTCACCAAACATTGGAAAGGAGGAGACTTGCTAAAGAATATCAGCAAAAAAGATGGTCATTGGGAAGCTCTGCCATGGCGAATTCTGAGAACAAAACTGGTAATTAATACATCTGTTAAATTTTAAGTTCATTTATGTTCTTGATTAAATATTGGCTATGAATAGAAGCTTGCATTACAGCAAGGTTTTATTCTTTGTATAAACAAAGATAAACAACAATACTGTAAGTGGTAAATTTAAATTTATGTCATTTGCCATTGCAAAAGAAACAGGTGAAATTTTATAGTAGTTTTTATTTAGCTCAGTATACCTACAATCTTTTTTTTTTTTTTTTTTTTTTTTTTTTTT